GTAACTGGGTGTTTGTTAACATTAAGATTTGTGAGATAAATATAAAATTTGAATATATAAGGACAAATAGTGTGTGATAGTACATTCACATTTAGTTTGAATACAAGAATGGAATCTATACACTGTTTTCTATTCCTTGAATTTAAATCACACTTAAGAATGTGAATAATGTACATTTAAAATGTTTACACTCACCTGACAAATTTCTGTCCACATGAAACTGTCCAGAACTCAATGCAAATTAACCAGCTCTTTCAGATTTCTGACTAGGAGGGCCACAGAGCATTTCTTACATCTTTGGTCTTCATAACTTGAGTTACCGTGAGAGAGGTCAAGTACAGAGCAGAAAGAGCAAACTCTGACTGGCCTGTGGGTCATCTCATGTAACAGCACTCATCACTTGGAGCTGCAGCTACTGAAACAATGAACTGCACCCTTGCCAGCCATATGTCAGAGAAGCATTCGGCATATATAGTCGCCAAATGCAAATCAAACATAAATGGCCCAGTGATCTTGGTTACAACTTGAACTGAAAATAGCAGAGCAAGAAAATAACAGCATTCTATTATGGTTCAGGTTCCAAAGAACATTTTTTTCTATTTAGGGTTTGGTTTCACTCAGGTGAAAATTTCATTTTTGAAAATTTTCAGTTCCTTTACACTTTGAAGCTCTGGTTGGTTAGTAATGGAGTGGTTAACTGTTTGCACCACCCAGTGACTCCAGCTTTAGTCACAACAGCCCTGTAAAACAGTGGTAGTAGCACTAGAACCTAACTTCAGGTGGGATGTGGTGAAATGAATTCTTTTATGTGGCCTTTTGCCTTAGTTCTTTGAAAAAACAACTTGAGAGACTTTTCCCCTAAGCCCTGAAGAGTTACCTTTGCCCTAGTTTTCTACCCCAGAGGATTTGTTACTTTTGCCAGGTTGATTGACATTTCCCAGATAAGTTGTACACAACTTGGCTTTTGACACATTTTGTTTGGTCCTGGGCTACAGCCTGCCATGTGATTGGTATGTGCCTTGCAGGGATTGGTCAATAGACTATGCAAATGAGGTAAATTGTAGCCTACTATGCAGATGAATTATCTATGGTCTCCCAAGAGGGGATTAGTCAATTCATGGCCCTGGTGGGAGTGCCACACCTTGAAACTGACAAGCAGTTTGTACATTTAAGCATCCAGCTCCACAGTCTTTTTGAGACAGAAAGAGGCAGACAGACTGATTAAAGTCTCAGTTTTTCAAGGCAGGACAGCTCTTTCAGTTCCTTGACCACACAGGCCTCCTCTGAGCTCCCCGAGGACAGGCTCCTTTCAGCTATCTGTCACTACTGGCTCTGCCCTTAGGCCCTTTCTGCCTATGTTCAGTGGTACAACCCTTGACCTGCTATAGCTCTTTTAGGAGGTTCCTTGCCTCAAACAGATCAGCCTGGGGTTGAACTTGATTTGCATTATGCCCCCTGAAGTCAGGTTTAGATAGCACTACTAGGACTATTTCCCAGGTGATAATGAAGTGGAGATCAGACACCTCACTCTCCAACCTTACCAATTCTGACACCAGCCATCCTCCCCATGGCACTACTTCTCTACTAGATTTGATAATCTGCTGTAATGGCCAGACAGAACTCACAGACCATACTTACAGTTAAGTGGCTTATTAAGGAAGTAACAGGGTACAACTTGGAATCAGGATCAACAGTCTACAGTTCAGGATCAGGAAGCATGTAGGCAAAGTCTGGAAGTTTCCCCTGAAGAGCAGAGCATGTCCCTCTACTCTTTGTGCAGGACAGTATTCTCAGCTCCTCTGAGCTCTGCAAGCACCCAGGCCCGTCTCTCTGCTGTGCAGAGGGGCTTTTTCTCTCAGCCCCCTCAGGGCAGGCTTCTTCTTGGCCCCCTCAGGACAAGTCTCCTTTTGGCTGTGCATAGCTCCTCTCAGCCATGGGCCTCCCCACTGCTAACCCAGCTCACAGCCAGAGTAGCAGTTTTATTCGTCTCTCTTAGCTCAATAAACTTTTTTTTTTTTTTTTTCCTATACCGGCATGTGAAGTCATGAGCTTCATTTCTGCCAACTGTTTGAGTCTCTGGTGAAGGGAACATGGACAAACACAGTGAACTTAGCAAACCTGACTGTACCTCCTTTTAATGAGCTCCCCAGGTAACCAGTGGCAGAATGTGTAGTTCGGGGCCAGGACTTCTGGGTCAGGAAGGGGATTCCAAGCTTCTGTCTCCATCCTAGACACATCCCCTGAATTCCAGATTCCAGTATCCAACTACTTGACACCTTCACCTGGTTCTCAAATTTAACACATCTAGAACGGCGCTCCTGACCTGTCCCCAAACAAGGGTCACCCGTATTCTTCCTTGTTTAAGTTCTACTCTTCAACACATGGGGGGTTCACCATGAGTTAGAATCACTCAATAGCATCTTGTAATATTTGCTTACTTGTGTTTGTCTGTCTCCATCACTAAAATACTAGCTCCACAAGGTCAGAGACTTTTTTTTTTTTTTTTTTTTTGGCTTTAACAAACAAATTTATTCTCTCAGTTTAAGAGACCAGAAGTCCAGTTTTAGAGCACCAGCTTTAGGGGAAGGCTTTTTCTTCTTGTTGGCTCACAGTTTAGGAGGAAGTTCCTTGAGTCCCTTCAGCATCTGTGGGCCTGGCATTCTTTGGCGATCTCCACGTGTCTTAGCATCAATCTTCCCCTGGGTCTAGCAAGTTTCCAGCGCAGGGACTCTGGGTCCAAACCGTGTGCTCTGCTTCCAGCTCTTCTTTCTTGGTGGTACTGAGGTCCCTCTCCAGTGATGGACATTGTTTTGTCAGTTTTATTCACTATCCCCAGCACCTAAACTTGGCCCAGAGGAGGTGCTCAACAAATGTTAATTAAATGAAGAGGGCACCAGAAACCTTGAGGAGGGAGGTGACTTGCTCAAAGTCACAGCCATCCAAAGGAGTGACTTTCCCTCTTAAAGAACCAAGCCCATAGCTTCAGTCTGTAGACTTCCCCACAGCAGGGCCAGGCCCTGGAACCAAACTAGGGCTAGCTAGACCTCATCCTCAGGACAGGACCAAGGGATGGTCCAGCCCTGGGGGTGCCCATCAGACCCAGCAAGGACTGGGGTTCTGAGGCAAGGGGCCACCACAGAAGAGGGGTGGGAATAGGATCCTCTGAAGAAGGAATTCTGGAGGTCCCGGTCATGGTCCTGTGGCTAGTGGAGGCAAGGCAAGGAGCCACCTCCCCCAAGCTACCTGAGGGCAGGCTTTAGACAAAGTTCCTGGATCACAAAGCTCAATAGGACAGGTGGGCCAGAAGTTCTCAGCAGAAGAACCCAGAGCTGCTGTGGGGGCCCCTCAGCCCCAGGTTGATTCCAAACACCCTATGCTCCCTTCCCAGGAGCTCTGGTAGCGTAGTGCCTAAGGCACTTGACTGCTTATCAGAAGGTGGTGGTTCAAACCCACCAACCACTCCTCGGAAGGAAGATGGGGCAATCTACTTCCATAGTGATACTGCCTCAGAAACCCAAGGAGGGGTCCCTATGAGTCGGTCCAACTGGAAGGCACATAACAACATGCTCCCTTCCCTGTCATCAGCTCCATGCCCAGCAGAGGGCAGCCTAGCCCCCAAGGTCCAGATTCTGCCATCTTGCGCCCCCTGGTGGCCACATTGGTTAGGGTCAGATGGGAGCCCTGGCTCTTCTGAGCCCTTCCCAAGGAAGGGATAATTCATCCTTGGCCTCCTTGAAGGCCTGAGGGTTTTAGGTGCACAAATGAAGATCCAAAGAGGGGGACACCAGTAACCCTTTTCTGGCCTGAGCCGATCCTGACCAACCTGGTAATCACCATCATAACCCAAGTGGGTCCATGATGGCATTGGTGATAACTACAACACCCCACCGAGTGACCACTCATTGTGGACTGGGCTCTGAGCCAGGCCATTTTGCATTCACCCATCCCATAAGATATTTCTTTTCTTCCCACCCCACCTTATCAATGAATAGACTGAGGCCCAGGGAGGGGATGATGTCACAAGCAAGGAGGTGATGCCAGGAGTAGAGCTCAGGTTGGCCTGACTTCTCTCAACACTGGCCTTCCCTTCTCTGCCCCTCCAACTACTCATCCACAGAACAGAATGCCTCTATCCCAGGCCAGGTGAGATGCAAGAAGGTTCAGCCAGAAGTTAAAAAAGTATAAAGTGCAAACACCAGCCATCATTTATTGAGGGCCCACTGTGTGCTGGGCACTAGGTCTGCAGAGGCCCTCTTCCCACCTCCCAGTCCCTCCCACTGGCCTGAGAAGAGGGTGGAGCCAGGCAGGAAGGACCCAGGTATCAAGCTGGGGAGAGAGCTGAGGTGGAGGTAGAAAGGGCAGAACAGTCCTCAGGGAGAGCAGCGTTTCTGGGTTCTGCCCAGCTGGAAACTGAAGGTTAGGGAGCCTCTCTCCTTCCCCCAACACTAAGCCCAAAATCAAGCCAGGCAGAGTGAGGGGGCCCTAAGTCCTGTCCTTTTACTACTATGACCTTCAGGAATGGGATCCATCTTTGAGTGGTTTCTCCCTCTATAAGACTGGGAAGAGTCCAGAGGACAGAGCAGCCAGGCCTGTGGTCTCAGGTCTCTACTGGATCTGACTCCTGGGGGCAAGTCCTGCTGATGACCTCTTCCTCTCCTCCCTAGGCAGCTCCTGGGCAAAGCAACCGGGTACCAGTTGGACCTGGTGAGACAGGAAAGGTAGCAAAGAGAAAGATCTAGAGTCAGACCATGAGAGGCAGAGACAGACAGCCAGTAACAGACAGAGACAGAAACAGACACAGAGGTAGTCAGAGACACAGACAGAGGAGGCAGAGAGAGAAAAACCTAGAAGTAGACAGAGGGATACAGAGACAACCAAAGACACAGAGACAGACAGAGGCAAAGCCAGAGCCAGAGAGCAGAAAGAGAGAAGCTGTGCTGAGAGGATAAAAAAGACACCAGACAGAGTCGCACCACATAGGGGACGAAACCAAGGCCCACACCTAGAGCTCGTCCCGGGGGTGGGGATGGAGACTGTGCCCGCTGCTGCCGACCAGGTCCAGGCGGGGGTCCCGCAGGGTCTTGTGAGAGCCACTCCAGGTGATGAGACGGCCACTGTCGTCATCCCAGAGGGAGGATGTCTCTGTGTCACTGAGCCACCCCTCATCCCCCGCATAGTGGGTGGGAGCAGCAAGCAGGGGTCGGGCTGAGAAGGCCCGCAAGTCCCGTGGCCAGAAGTGTGCCTTGTACTTTTGGCTGCAAGGCAGGAGTATGGCTCAGAGGACTGACGGGAAGCTTCATCCCAGACCACGTGTCTGCCTAGAGCTGGGCACCTCACCTGTCAAAGCACCTCCCTGCCCATACTAGCTAATCCCCAACGCAACCCACAGAGGTGAGATTTCTGTTATTTCCATGTTCCAGGCAGGGAAACTGAGGCTAAGAATATAAGCAGCAGAGAGTCACACCTAGGTCAGTCTGATTCCTGGGCTAGGCTGGGCTACTCCTTGGTGACTTGGGACAAATGGTTCAGCCCTGCTAGCCTCAGTCTCCCCAACTACCTAGCAAGGGGTTGTGGACTTACTACTTGCTGGTGGGCTCCTGGGGGGGGAGCCCTTGCCACACCCCCTGCCTTGCTCCCCTCTGAGTAAGCCTTACTTGGGGTGCTGGTCAAACATGATGGGCAGGAACTCATCCACGGGCAGCATCCGGCGCAAGGGCTGGGAGGCCAGCAGCTTGCGGGCCCCTGTCAGGCTCAGGGCATATGCCAGCGTCCAGTAGGAGTACCCAGCCACCACCAGGTGCGGCAGCCCCTCCACGACTGCCTCCTCCTCAGGGTTCACCTGCTTCCGGCCGAGGTAGCTGCAGGTGATGCAAGGGTTTCGGGAGTCACAAAAGGCTGGGGTATCCCAGGAGCTCTCCCCTAATTCCGCTCTTACAGGGCCAGGCTTAGAAGGGAGGCCAGTCAAGGTTTCCCGATGATGAGGCAGACCCTAAGAGACCCACCCCTTTTCACTGCCCGTGGGGTACTGGGTACCTACATCAGGTCCCATGGAAGCTTCTCTGCCTCCACCCCTTCCATCAGCCGCTCCAACCGCCGCTTGAAGTTGCTCTGAAAGCGCACGTCATCCTCAAACACTACGACCTGGGCCAGGCCCCTGGCAACCACCTGTAGCACATGCCAGGATGGGGAGATGGCTCTTCAGATTTGAGCTGTCCCCCTTCCTACCTGGCTGCAGCCAACAGGCTTGCACTGGCATCAGTTATACCCCATAGACAGCCTTGGCCACATTACTCTGCTACTCCAAAGTCTGCTGTAATTCCTACTGCCTGGGGACGAAAATCCCAGCACCTCACTCTGGCATTCAAGGCCCTCCAGGCCCCCAATCTATGTCCTCAATCAGAATCATGATGGCAAGCACAACCCTTGCTACCATTCCCTGAGCACTGACTATGTCCCAGGGGCCACAGTCCTACGGTTTATCTCAAGGGACCCTCAAGAAGTGGGAAACATGATGATCCCTATGTTGCAGATAAGGAGATGGAGATGCAGAGAAGGTGAAACCACTTGTCCAAGGCCATAAAACCAGGAGTGGCAGAACCAAGATTTGAACCTAGATCTGGAGGACTCCAGGGCCCAGCCCTTTACCTCAGCCTCCTGAGCTTTGCTAAGGAAGCTGGGCAAGGCAAGGATGACAGGAGCTCCCACAACACAAAGCATACATAAAGAAAAAACATATTTCGCAAATTTGGGAGCTCTGGTAGCACAGTGCCTAAGGCACTTGACTGCTAACCAGGAGGCTGGCGGTTCAAACCCACCAGCCACTCCTCAGAAGGAAGATGGGGCAATCTACTTCCGTAGTGATACTGCCTCGGAAACCCAAGGAGGCGTCGCTATGAGTTGGGTCCGACTCGACGGCACATAACAACAACAACAACAAATTTTGAAAACAACATGGAATCAGATCAATAAATGGTGAAATAGAAGTCATCCTTCAATTTGTTCAGGGACACTAAAAAACCAGCACAACTATAAACCCACACATTCATATGTTTTGGCTACAGTAGAAAATAAAAACAAGGAGTCTTTGCACTATCTCCAAGAGGGAGTGTCTGTTTGAGGACCCTGTCCCCTCAGTCTCCCCAGTAGTGTCCACACAGTGACCCTTCACTGGGTCTCCTGCCTCCAGGCTCCGGGCTGATGCTCCTGGACAAGTATTAAGCACCAACTCCTACGCTTTCCTTTTTTCCACTCCTCGACACACTGAGCTCCTTCCTGCCCAGGGCTTTTGCCCCTAATTGTCCTCAGCCTAGAAGGCTCTTGTCCCTACACCTAGATAGCAAGCCCCACCTTGATCCCACACGAGGTCAAGAGTCCATGCCAGTCCATGCCCTTGGTTCTTTCTTGATTTCTGTGCCCTGCTCTGGGCCATGAGCCTCGGGACAGCGAGGACTTTTTTTCTTGTTGACCTCTGTGTTCTCAGACTGGAACATCTCCTGGCACATAGTAGGTGCTCCATAGAGACTACAATAAATAAGGGAGCCCCTCAACTTGAAGAATGTAATCAGTGTCACTAATCTGTATGTGTAGAAATTGTTGAATTGTTACATGTTCAGCTGTATATGTTCTCAACAAAAAAAAAATTAAATAATTTTAAAAAAGAGAAGAGACCAAAGAAACAGAGAAAGGACGGTCATATGAAGATGTATCTATAAGCCAAGGAACATCTGGGGCTACTAGAAGCTGAGAGACAAGATACTTTGAAGGGAGCATGACCCAGCCAACGTATTGATGTAGTTGTCTAGCCTCCAGAACTGTGAGAAATTTCTCTTCTTATAAATCACTTAGTTTGTGGGGTTTTGTTGTGGCAGCCCAGGAAAGAAATAAATAAGGGTGTCCTTCAGTGGAACCCAGTCTGGTGCTCAACACACAAGAGGTGCTTGTTAGTGTCTTAGCACATTCCTTCATTCACCCAGTGCTGGGCACAGAGCAGCAAACAGAACCTGGACCCTGCCCAAGGGGGTGGGGGTCCTCACCTCCTCCCAGATGGAGTAGTGGCTGAGGAAACAGCCCACCTCGCCCTTGGTCAGCGTGCGGCCTGAGTAGGGGTCCTGGTAGCCAGGAAGCAGGTCCACGCCAAGGCTCCCGATGACACTGCTGTTGAGGGTCCTGAGGGATATGGGTGTAACAGGGTCTCTGAGTAAGGAGTGCCTGCTAGGGACCTAGAGGGGCCAAGCCCATACATATTGGAAATAGTCACACTAGAGTCTGGTTGGAAGGTTTCACCCTCGGAACTCCTTCACGTAGCCTAACAGCATCAGTGATTGGCCCTGGGGAACCACGGTCACCTTGGGAAGCTGCTAATAGGGACAAAGGGTGACTCTCAGGGAGGGGGTAGCAGTATGGATGAGATGGGGCTGGTTGGCTGCCTGATGAGGAAGAACCCCAGGAAGGATGTGGGGAACATGGTTGATACTTCTTGGGCAGGAGGCCAAGCAAAGGATGGACATTCAGAGGTCAAAAGGGCTGGGGACTTGGAACAAACAGCAGCAGGCACATGGGGCCATGTATGACTCTGGTGGCTGGAGAAGTTGTGTCTCCGGGTTCCCCTGGGAGACACAGCTGGTCTGCCTCACCCCCACTCATCAAGGGCCTAAATCCACAACAGAGAACAATAATCACAATAATAATAATGAAAACATCTAACACTTTGGGATACCTACTATATGTCAGGCCCTGGCTAAGTCTTCACTGAACCCTTCCAAACCCAAAGAGGAAGATACAAGCAGTTGCCATTTTACATGAGGAAACAGGGCTCAGAGACTGAGAGGAGTGTAACTTGCTAGAGGTCACACGGCTGGAAGTGGCAGAGCTAAAACACTGTGAGAGCCCTGTACCTCCAGATCCTGGGCCTTATCCACTCTTCTCTTCCCCCACCAAGGGCCATCTTGTCCTGTATTCATCCTCCTTTAAGCTCTGAGACAAACATCACTCAAGCCCTGTTTGGATACCTCCCAGAGCAGGAAACTCATCCAACCTATTTGCTTTTCCTACTTTCAGGGAGCTCAGAGACAGACCACTTTGCACCCCCAAACACCCAGTCCCTCCAGAGCAAACCTCACCGGCCATCCACAGCATCCACCACCCGCCCAGAGATCTCCATCTCCCAGAGCGAGTTCAGCATGCGCTCACGGCGGTCAGGCCGGCGGGCCAGGCTGATGACAAAGACCTGAAGGCGGTGGGCAATGGATCCAAGTCTAGGAAGGAGGGAGAGCCTACAGACCTCCCAACCCCAATCCCACAGGTTGGGAGTCTTACCTCATCAAACCCCATCTTGCTGGGTCTCTTTGGGGGCCGGAACACATGAGCCGAGGCCTGCATGGGGGGCCCATCCACTGCAGAGGGAAGCACCCACCCAGTAACAAGTCCCTACTAGCTCTACCCTGAAGTTCTAGTGCCTCCCCTGCACCATCTCATTCCTGCACCCTCAGCAGAACGCCCAGCTGAAGGAGCCCTCTGAGATCACAGAATCCATCCGCCCCCACTGTGGGGATGTGGTGACTGAGGCTCAGCGGTGAGGGGGTATTTTCCCAGAGTCATAGAATGAGTTAGGGGCCAGGCTGAGACCTTAAGTTCAGTGACCTCTAGGTTGGGACTAATAGGCATTGGCAGGGAACAATGGTGGCAGCCGAAGGCACTGGCTCCCAGCCCTCACCAAGTGCTTCCAAGATCAGGTGGATGAAGTTGACCCTCTCGTCCTCCAGCCCTTGGTGGGATTTCACAGGAACATTCATGTACCCATAACGGTGCTGGTTGCAGACATGGACCGAGACCCCTGTGGAGAGAGGCCACATTCTGGTCAGAGTCGGGGAGCAAGACACTTAGAATCCAGCTAAAAGGTCTTACACCTGGCTCTACCAGTGACCCAAGGTGAGTCCTCACTGGGACTCGATTTCCCCACCTGTGTGACTGAAGAGAGAAATGGCTTGGATCAAATTATATCTAAGGGGTCTTTCTGCTGAGGTGGTTTATTCACTCAACAGATGAGTCTAGGGTACCTGCAATATGCCAGGCCCCATGCTGGGCACCCACCTGGTTGTGAGCAGACTACTGGAGTTCTTGCCTTCAGGAGGCCACCATGAGGAAGAAAACCCCCACCAACCACAGCAACATGATGCCACCAAGCCCTGTTGTTCCACCCTTCAGTCTTCCCCATCTTTACCCATCCCACTGCCTCTGCACCCTGATCCATGCACCATCACCTTTTACACGGGTCCCAACCCTAACTCCATACCCTGTTACGGTTCATCTGTGTTATTTTCCAGCTGGCAGCCACAAGTAGCCTATTTTCCTCAGTATTTGTCAATGTTATTTATTTACTCTTTATCGTCTATAGACTGTGAATTCCTTAGGGGCTAGTGCGTTGTATCTATTTAAAACATAATTCCATGTGCAGCATTAAGCCTGGTGTCTGGCTCATACAGGGACTCAATACCTGAATGCTTGAAGCAAGAATGAGGGAGAAATATCTACAGTTCATGAAATTCCTTCAAATCACTGACCAAGAAATAGCAGCAGTTACTCAATGTAGTGGCAGCAATGAAAATATAAGGGGGCACTTTTGCTTCTCATTTGCTTCATTTATTCGTTCCACTGTTATTTAATTTTTGCACTTGAATTTTGTTTCCTTCTTGCTTGTCTGCACACTGTAGGCTTTGCCAGCAAGAGAAACTGCACCTTGTGCACAAAGCAACCTATTATAACATCATCCTCTCTGCATATACACTGCTGACTCAGGTGCAATACTTCTTGATTAAATTGTAAGTCACCCTGATCACAAGAAATGTTCTTTTATACCCACCAGATAGACCTCATGTCCTTGGCAGATCCTCAATCCACACCCAAATTACATTCTTTGGGGCCTTCTCAAGAGCTACACTCTAATGTCAGTCCCTCTTTCTCTCTCATAACTTCAGTTCTTCTTCAAAACTGGCTCTAACCCACCCAGTAACTTTCACCTCAAAAATAACTAACACAAGACTGACCTTTTTTTTCAACATGTAAATCCAATCAAATGACCCTGTGATGGCTGCCCAATGCTCTCAGACAAAAGACCAGATGTTTGCCAATCCAGATGGCTCCTGCCTACCTTTCCTGCCTTGGCCTGCACCATACTCCTCTCACTCACCATGCCCCAGCCACACAACCTTCTTAGCTCCCTGCTACCCAGGGCCTTGGCACCTGCTGCTCTCTCTAGCTGAAATGTTCTTTCCTGCTCTGTTTGCCTTGTTAATGTCTACTCATAGATCTTAGCCCAAAGGGTCACTTCCTCTAGGAAGACTTCCCTGACCAGGTCAATTCCAGTCTAAGTTCCCAAAGCATGAAGAACTGAGAAGCTCTCTTTCCTGTCTTAGTTGTGGATTCGATATTGATTTATTATGTGATGTTTTGATTAATGTTTGTCTCACACTGGACTGGAAGTTCCAGGATAGCAGAAAATGCCTGGTTTTACTCACCACTGTCCCCAGTGCCTGTCACATGGTAGGTACTCCATAAGTATTTGCCTAATGAAGAAATAAATTAAAGTGCCAAGTAGGGACAGCCAAGGGGGACATCTAACCCAATCGAAGCAGTGGGCTCAAGAAAGGCTACAACCTTCAAGGACAAACAGGAGTTAACAGCATGAACCAAGGAATGGGAAAGGATGTGCTAAGCAGAGAGAACAGCATATGCAAAGACCCAGAGGCCTTTAAGCCATGCTCAAAGAGGGCTGGTCCTCACCAGCTGCCTGACAGGCGTAGGCGAAGACAATGATGTCATCAAAGGGCCAGGTGTAGTTGGGGTGAGGAGGGTAGAAGGTGAGCTGAGCTGCCCCCTCAGCCCACAGGGCCACCAGGAAGGTGGAATGGACCATGGGGACACGGAAGCAGCCGCGGCGCTGGCGGTTCTTGGTGGGGAAGTATTCGGCTGTGCGGCGGTAGTAGCCCTGGGGAAGGGGAGTGCTCTGGGTTATAAAGGGCCCCTCCCTCCATCCCCAGCAACTGCTCCCCTTACCATGGCCCTCAGACTCCAATACCTTTAGCCTCTCTGCTCTCTCTACTCTGTGCCTCTTCCCAGGATCTCACACTTTCTGAGGCCCTCCATCCCTGGCCTCACCTGGGGAGTGATCCCACACCAAAAGTTGGAGTAGTAGGTCTGGGAGTCCAGCATTGGAGCCACCACAGGCAACCCCTGCTCTATCAGAAGCTTCAGCGTCTGGTTGTTGGTCAAAATGTTGTCTGTGTCTGCAAACTGGGAAGGCAGAGGAGGAGGGGTGTCACGGAGCCCAGCCCTATCTGGGCCACAGACCCCCAAGGAATTCACTGAATGGGATCCCTCAGGTTGTCAGAGACCCAGAGTGGCTCCCAGAATCCAATAGGAGTTTCCTTAGAGAAGTCTAGCCAACTCAGTAGATCTGTCTCTGGACCAAGGATCACGTTTTGAGTGATGGTTGAGGGACTGGATTCACAAACTGGGCCAGCACTGCTTATTTAAGAACCTTATCTGAGATGTGGTTTAGGAAGTGAATCCAAAAACTTACTCTGAGCTCTAGTCCATAGACCCAGGCTCAGTTTACACTCTGGGCTCTGGTCCAGAAATTTATGCTCCATATATACCCTACTATCTCTTTCAGAGATCCAGGCTTAGTACCTAGTCTCAACTCAGCCTAGCTATCCACACTCATTATCTGATCTGGGCTTTGGCCCAGGCTGCCAAGTGAAAACTCTAGCCTACAGGTGTGGTTCAGTCATGTCAAGACTTTTGTCAGGGACAGATCACATCAGCAGTGAGAAAGCAACACTAGGCAAGGCCTCCTTACCAGGATATAGTCAGCCCCCCAGTCCCTGGCAAAGGTCAGGGCTTCCTGCTTCAACTCCATCAGAAACTGATGCCGTTCTTTGGTCCAGTGCTTGGGACTCTCTTCGTCTGGATAGGACCTGAGGGAGTAAAGAGATGAGATCTTCTCACAGAGTGGTATCTCGCCCTCTCTATAGGGTAGTGGACAAAGCCCTGGGCTGGAGGCTGTGGCCCTGAACTATCCCTTTTCCAGAGAGGACCTGCAGCTGTTTCCCATCTTCCCCAGAATCTTACCCCTCAGGTCACTACCTGGGCTCCCCCTCAGGCCTCCAGACCACGGCTGCATAGTCGTTGCCCACAGCAGCCAGCCATTCCTGCAGCATCTCCGTGGTATTGTCCACATTGTGGTCTGTGGCACACCTGGGGACACAGAGGAAGAAGGGTGAGAGGGCATAGCCATAGAAGGGCCAAACCCAAGCCCTGAGGCAGCCAGGACCCCTGGAGCACCAACACCTGTGAGGCTGGTCTCCCCTGGCCACAGGGGAGGGGTGCACTAGGGTAGGTGTGCTATGGGGGTGGGAAGATGCTGGAGACAGAATGGCTAGGTCTCACTCACAGGTCTGTGACCCACCATGTGACCTCAGGTAAATCCCATCCCCTTTCTGAACTTCTGTTCCCCCCTCTGTTGCTATAAGCTTTCCTGATCATGTCATGGGCTGAAAGAACAGGTAAAGGTATTTTGAAAGATGAAAGGTACCTCAACTTTGAGGAGCACACCTGCTACATTCCTTGGTTACTTTCCTCCTTGCTGTGTGAGCACAGGTTAGACCCTTCCCCTCTCTCAGTCAGGACTGGACAGAACAGTGCTGCTTCCCTCCACCCACAAGTTGTAAATAAGGACCAAACCATGCTGAGGTCCTGGAGAAGCACTGATGAGCTCAAGCTCGGTTGCCAGGGAGCACAGCATCTCTTCTTCCGGGGAAGAGGCTCCCAAGACAAAGATACAGGGCTTAGCCAAGAACCCTAACTTGAGTGACACTGCCCCTTTAAGCCAATTCCCCAGGAGTGAAGACTAACTACGTGTCAAGTCTTGGAGGGGTGGGAACTAACTAACTCCCAAACTGTGGTAATTGTGGGCGGCCTCCCCAGGCCATGGCTCCACCTCCAGCCCAACTTTGGTGTCTTGAGGGGAGTAGTATGTCATTTCCCTCAGTTTATCCACAGCCTCAGCTTGGGACTCCTCCCTGTTCTGGCTCCCAGAAACTAAAGGTTGTGTTCTCTGATTTCAGCGCTCTTTGGAGATGTCTGGGGAGAGAGCCTACAGGAGAGGGGATAGCCCCCAGCTGTGCTGCCTTTGGCTGACTGGGCCTACTCCAGCTGGAGGAGAGCCAGCTTGACTCCCCTGCAGAACGGCACGCATCCCCACTTGGTCCCCAGGAAGCCCCAGTCCTGCTGATCTGGGCCACACAGCGCCCTAGAGGATTCCAGCCTCAGGGAACATCAGCGGTTCCAGTCTGCTCCAAGTCAAGTCAACCACAGGTCCCACGGAGGTTAAATTTGGGCTCCAAGGGCTGGGGTGAGAGGGGTGGTTCCAACTTACACACAGAGGAAGCCCCAAGAGGAGGGACGGGGACTGGAAGAATGAGTGGGCGTCCCTGGGTCGCCTTAATGCTTCAAAGGTCTATCTTCTGCCAAGGGGTGAAAGGGTCCTGTCTGGGGGCTTGGGGCTGAGGAGGGCCTGTCTGTGAGGGTGGGGCCTGTTGGCGTGTCTGGGCAGGGAGCGGATGAGGCCACTGGGCCGAGGGCCACCTGGGAGGATGGGGGAGATGTCCTGCGGATGCCAGTGCCCGGGTCTCTCTCACCAGAGGGCCAGCCTGGCCCGGGGGTAGTCCAGCCGCTCCAGTGCGCCTAGGTAGTGGGGCAGTGAATGCTCAGCATTGCGGGCCAGGATGGCAAGAACCACGGCGGGCAGCGGTGCCTCGGCGATGCCCGCAGCCGCCAGCCGCGACCCCAGCAGGAGCAGCAGCTGGAGCAGCGAGGAGGCAGGAGCAGCGGGCATGGCGGGTGCTCGGGCGGCGGCGGCGCCTGCCCCTGCCTCCTAGGCTCCCAGCCCGGCCAAGGGGAGTGGGCGGGGCGGCCGGGTGGGGCGGGCCCTGGGCAGGGCGGGGCCGAGGGGACGAAGGGGGTCGCGATCAGAGTGTACACGCAGAGAGAGGTCTCCCGGTCCCCCAGCACCTGCGTGGATTCTCGACGTTCTCCTTCTCGCCCAAGGGCATTGGGAGGGCCAGTGCCCGGAGACCTGCCCCTGACGCGCCCCAGGAGCAGACCCCCTTTGCGCAGGACCCCGGAGTGAGGAGGAGGGAAGGGGAGGTCTGGGGTGACGGCATCGGAGCCGCCCAAGCGTGTGAGAGCGCTCGACTCCTCAAATCCCTGATCGTTCAACCCCCGCAATCTGGCTTCACTGAGCTTCTGACGCCCTTGAATCTCGATTCTCTGACCATCAGACCCACAGTTCTCGGGGGCAGCACCAACCCGGCCGCTGCTTTTCCGGGGTTTGCCGGCGTCGGACCCCGCCTCCGCCCCGGGCGCCCTCTGGCGGGCCTAGACTGGAACTTCGCAGACCACAGAGGCGACACGTGGGTCTAAGAGGACGATCTGGTTTGGGGCAGTGAGGGAGTTTCCCTGACCTGGGCGCGCCATCCCGCGGCAACCCGAGGCTGGTTTCCTGGTGTCTGGTAGTCCTCCCCTCTGCTGTTTCGACCCTTTAAGAAAGAAAAAGCCCACTCTTAGACTGTAGAACTGGTGAGCACCACAGAGTCCCTGACAGCGAGGCAGCCCCCCAAAATCAGAAGCTACAACCTCCTTTGGAGCAGAGACAGGCTCCTTACGTCCCTGTTGAGATGGGAAGGGGTCTCCAGCAGAAAAGGGGATGGGCCTGGAGGGACTAAGGTGGGTTCTAGCCACGAGGCTATGCTGCCCATCTCAGGACACTTTCCTGAACCTCAGAGTCTTCATGAGTAAAATCGGGCTGGTAACACCTGCGAGGGTTTGTTTGCAAGGATTCCTTTAGAGAATGAATGCACTTGAAGTTTCTCTATGTGGAGCTTGGCACACAGGAAGAGCTTCACAGAAAAGAAGCCAGGCAGAGAAGGCAGCCCCAGGAGGGGCAGACATGCCCACACACTTCCCCCCCACCCCACCTGCAGGATCCATTTTCCTTCACACACCTTTGACTCTTCCTCTCAGCCTCTTCTGGGAGTCAGGGAGCGGGGCTAGGCCTGAGCACATTATCTCAACTGGGAGTGGCAGAACCCAGCCAGGAGTGGACTTACCTAGTGATGTGGCAGCTCTTACAGGCCACTGAACTCGTGAGTCCTGAACTCCAGTTAAGCTGCATAGCCTCTACCAGGCTCCTGGTCAAAGCTCCCAGATGGGGCCATTTCCCAGGCAGTGACCCTGCAATGAGAAAGGACCGAGGTCCCTTTGCACCCACTTTGCACTGGTAGCCTCTGGTCCAAAGGACTCCCAGCCCCAGAACTGGGATTCCCTTTCTAAAGCAAAGCAGTGCCCTTACCTCATCCATCCCATAGTCATTCCACAGTTCTCCATGTCTTCGATACTCTGCCCATCCTCTTGGTCATGGGGGCTTCCAGATTCTTCCCCAGTCTCTAGTTTTTCTCCTTCTCATCCCAATCATTAGCCTCTCCCATCTTTACCTCCCTTCCTCCCCAGCCCACCTACTGGTCCAGCTTTCACTGACTCCCTTATCCCAGGGTTCTCCTATCAACGCTCCTAGAAAAGCCCAACTCTATAACCATCTTGCTTTGGGGCAGGTTAGAGCCACTGCAAACTCATGATCTCCATGCTCAAAGGGGCTGTCACCAAGGCCACCATCCAGTTTCCCTATGTTTCTTGACCCCTCTCTGGACATTTCAAATGCCCACAGTTTTCTGAAGCCTAACTCCACTTCTTCCGCACCACAGCAAGGATTTCCTTGCTACTTCTTGTAGAGAAATAGAAGCCATTGCCTGAGAACTCACATTTACAGCCTCCAAACCTTCCACCCCTGCCACAATCCAGTCTCCGCTCTTACCACCTGTTACAATGGAACAGGCATCTCTTCTTAAAGGAATGACCACTGGCTCCAAATGCTGCCCCTGCACCCCTCCTGTATCATCATGCTCCCACTCATCTGGATCCTTTCTTCAGCATTTTGAAATCCTTTGGCAGATGTAAATCTCACCCCACTTAAAGTAAGGAAACACCAAGTCACCTCCTGCCCCCAGTTGTGGCCCTATCTCTCTTCTTCCCTTCAAGACAAATCTTTTGAAAGGGTCTGTGTGTGGAATCTGTGCTTTGCTCCCTGTCTTACTTCCTCACCTTCATTTTTACTGGATGACACACACAAAGGCTGTTCCAGCCAAACCACTCCTGTCAAGACCAGAGTCCTCCTGCCACTCCCCCCAGTGGATACTTCCTCCTCATCCTATGTATAGGATACTCTGTGTACTGGGGATACAAGGGTACACAAGACAGACATGGTCTCTGCCCCCAGGAGGCTTACATTCTGGTGAGGGAAGACAGGAAACAAACAAATATATAAATGAACGAGACAATTCCAAAGAAAGTTAAGTGTTATGAACAAAATAAAACAAATGAATAAGAACAGAGAGTATATGTGAGAATAGCTGGGACTGGGAGGCAACATTTAGATAGAGGGGCCAGGAAGGGCATTCTAGAGTATGACAAGCCACCCAGGGAAAGATCTGGGGGAAGAGTATTCCAGATGGAAGGCATGGGAGGGGCAAAGATTCTAAGGTGGGAATAGGCAGGGAGGCAAGTATAGCTGGAGCAAAGTGAGCAAAGGAAGTGTGGCAGGAGATGATATCAGATAGGTGGCAGGGCCAGGTCCAAGGCCTAGAAGTGGCACATGGTTCTAGAATTTTCTTAAGTGCAATAGGAAGATATTGTTGGAAGTAAGCAGAGAAGTGATGTGATCTCTGTTTTAAAAAAAGACTATTCTTGCTAGAGTGCAGAGGGTGGAACCAGAGTGGAAAGTGGGAGACTCTTGGGCAGGAAGAGAGTAGACAGAGTTGAGACGTATAATGGAGGCAGAGCCAACAGGCCTTGTGGATGTGGGAGATAGAGGAATCAAGGATGAGTCCTACTTATCCTACAAAATCCTACTTAGATTTTGCAACTGGTTCAGATGGGGGAGCTATATTTGCTAGGAGCTCTGGTAGCACAGTGCCTAAGGCACTTGACTGCTAACCAGAAGGCTGGCGGTTCAAACCCACCAGCCACTCCTCGGAAGGAAGGTTGGGCAATCTATTTCAGTAGAATACTGCCTCGGAAACCCAAGGAGGGGTCGCTATAAGTTGAATCGACTTGATGGCAGTGAGTTTGGTTTTTAGTTGCCATATTTGCTGAATGGGGAACACTTGAGAAGGGACAGGTGAGAACTGGGTTCTGTTTTGGACATTATTTTGAGTTGCCATTTAGACCTCCAGATCCCTAGGTGGCACAAGTGGTTTGGTCTTGATTACTAACCTAAAGCTGGCAGTTTTGAACCTACCAAGTGGTACCATTGAAGGAAGCCCTGGCAATCTGCTTCTGTGAAGATTACAGCCAGAAAAACCCTATGGAGCAGTTCTACTCTGTAACCCATAGGGTCCTCTATGGAGCAGTTCTACTCAGTAACCCATAGAGTCACCAAGCGTCAGAATGGACTCAATGCCAATAGATTTAGTTGGTTTTTCTTAGATCTCTAGGTGGAGTGATCGCATGCTATACACCTGCCTGGCTACACTGAATTTGAGATAGAGACCTGACCCATCCCACCTCATTCACTATTACATCCCCTACCTCTAAACAGAGCTAACCAGCACACATGTAGTGGGCCCTGATGTAATGTGATTGCACATTGACCACAGTGGGCTGACCAAGCACCTGTACTCCCAGTAAATGCTCATTTTCTGCCATAATAATAATATGCTGCAAAGGTATTATTGGGCCAAATTCACAGAAATTCTAAAGCAGGGATTCTCAAAGCATCATCAGTTTCACCTGGAAATTTTAGAAATGCAAATTATTAGGTCCCTTCTCAGCTCTGGTAAGTCAGAAACTCTGGGTTCAGAGACCAAGCATTTGTTTTAACAAGCTTTCCAGGTGATTTTAATTCAGGCTCATGTCTGAAGCTGCTGACCTATGCAATGTAAGGCCTCATTCTCCAGGTCACGTAGTGTACCACACCTGGAAAAAAATTACCGGGCTGGCCTGGCTGAGTAGGACCCGGACCGGACAAACCTAGTTGATCTCTGGGTTTCTCCTAGCATCCTCAAGCCCATCCCTTGGCCATTGTAGTTCTGGCCAAAGCCAGGTGGTGGCGCCTGCGCCTCAGGGTTTGCTCTGGCTTCTGGAAATGGAGATCCAGAAAAAAAACACCCCCTCCTCAGTGGCTTCTTCCCTCTGGGAGCCTGGGCTCCAGGGCTGCCTATGGCAAAGGCTCTGCAGCATGATCTTCAGCAGAGAAAAGGGCACTGAGGCTGGCATACTCCCAGCTGGGGGGCCAGCCCCCTCTTTCTGGAAACTAGGGAAGTGGGCTAGAGGAGCCCCCTTGGGAAGAGGGAAATAAGGGGAACTGGATTCTGTGGGACTTGAGGCCCAGAACCCAGGCAGGTGGCTCTGGTCCAGTGGGCTCTGGCCAGACCATCATTAACCCTCTGCCTATCTTTTCAAAGTCATGCACAGTCCCAGGTGCTGCTACCTTGCCAATGGATGTGGGCAGCCTGGAGGTGCCCCAGGGCCCAGGCTCATAGCCTGGTTCCCAAGCAGGCTGGGAATGGGGGTACAAAGCGGGGAAGATGGTTTGATGGAGCTCTTACCAGCTGCCAGCTTCATGGCTCCTGAGTTGGAGGCTCTCTGGGCCCCTGTCCTGCTTTGTGGCCAAGGAAGCCCAGGATCCTGGCCAGAGGATGGGCTCACGTCCTGCTCCTGGTGCTGGGTGCAGCTCAACAAATGGGAGTCCAAAAGCCCAGCCTGGGCTGCCTCTCCACTTCAAGTTCAAACCCAATTCAAGAAGACCCAGCATTGAGCAGAGGCTTGCCCTCAGCTGCTCCCTCCCCCCCTTATCTTTCCTACACGAGGGGAGACAGAGACCCCCAATCCCA